ATCTACATGTACGACATCCGATAGTCAATCTGCTTTCAAAATACAGGGTGGATTATCTAAGTGGAAAAAAACTGCAAAGTTAAATGCCCATGAAAATAGTGACAGTCATCGTGAGTCATTTACTGCTTGGAAAGAAACTGAGCACCGAATTTGTCTTCAAAGTGGCATTGATGAAGAGCTTCAAAGGCAAATTTTGCAATAAATAAATAAATGAAGAGATGTACTGCGATGGTTGCTGGATTGTACACAATATTTAGCTTCTCAGAATTTTGCATTTCGTAGTCATACTGAGGACATAACCTCAAACGAAAACCATGGAAATTTCCTATCACTTTTGCAGTTATTAGCAAAGTATGATCCAGTAATGAGAGAGCATTTAGAGTGTGTTAAAAACAAGCAAAAGTCAACATCATGGTTGCTGGATTGTACACAATATTTAGCTTCTCAGAATTTTGCATTTCGTAGTCATACTGAGGACATACCCTCAAACGAAAACTATGGAAATTTCCTGTCACTTTTGCAGTTATTAGCAAAGTATGATCCAGTAATGAGAGAGCATTTAGAGTGTGTTAAAAACAAGCAAAAGTCAACATCTTATCTTTCTCCTGAAATCCAAAATGAGTTTATAAATCTCATGGCTTCACATGTGTGAAATTATTGTTTGTCAGCAATTTGTAGAAACAAATACTATGGTATTCTGTTTAATTCCACACCTGATTTAGCCCATCGTGAGCAATTGGCCAAAGTGATTCGGTTTATTGACACAGACTTTAAGACAAGAAAAGTAGAAGTCAAAGAGTCATTTATTGACTTCATACAGATAAAGGAAAAAGATGCTGCCAATATTGAGAAAACAATAAGCACAAAATTAGAAGCGGATGGAATTTTATTGAGAGATTGTTGTTCACAATGTTATGATAATGCTGCTGTCATGTCAGGTCATCTGTCAGGCATTCAACAAAAAATTCTGAACAAAAATCCAAAAGCAGTGTTTATAAACTGTGACAAACATAGTTTGAACTAAGCATGTCTTCATGCTGCAAGTCAGGAAACAACAGTAATTACCTTTTCTGGAATAATTTATAATTTCTTTGCTCATTCAACAACTCAATGGGACGAATTGCAGCAGGAGCTTAAGATCTCTGTCAAGCGTGAATCAGAAACACGGTGGAGTGCAAGAGAAAAGGCA